ACAAGGTCGTAAAGAACACAAACTTTGGAATGCACCAACTTATATAAATCAAATTGTGTAAGGTAGTGCCGAGGGATATGACGCAGTGGGGAATATGACGCGACTGTCCCATCTCCGTTATGTAGTTCTGTGTGATTTCTTTGAGCTAATTTACCTTTAGTTCCATTGCTGATTATCACAGAGAGCGCAAGGAGTTCAGTGTTGAGCCAATTGTTGTCAAGAGAGCACGTCTTTTCTTCGTCTGAATCAGGTGAGCACACGTAAAAGTTTTATTGCATTATTTTGAAAGCTCTGTATTATATTTCCTTCTAGATTTTTAATTGGTTTTATGTATTTTATGGTCTTGTACGCCTTCTAAGATTAATAGTATAGGGTGGATTTATCCATGTTGGCCTTTGTTATTATTTAATTATTTTATAAATAAAATGGTGGATAGCTAGTAATATGACGCACATTGTGACAGAGTGATATGACGCGCGTCATATCCCTGTCCCATATTTCCTTATATCTTAGGAACGTAACAATATAAGTAGGTACACGTATATGTCTATTTTTTAAAACTTTTTCAGAAATGCCGAGCTACAAAGCGAAGGGGTTAAGAGGGACCTAGTCGGAAAAAAATCTTCTTGCTGCTGCCCAAGCCGTTGCTGATGGATCATCAATTAGAGGAGCAGCAAAAGCGAATCAAATACCTGAAAAAACTCTACGACATCGTTTAAAATCAAATAATCTCGTCAAGGGAAAGCTAGGACAACCGCCAGTCCTTGGGTGGGATGCAGAGAAAAAAATCGTTATACACGTGAAGAGACTGCAAAAGGCTGGATATGCCCCAACAAAAATTGCTTTGCGCAAGATGGCGTATAATTTGGCAGAGAGAATGGGCATACTCGCATTCACACATTTCTGTGAAAAAAATCGCACTGTAGGCAAGGGATGGTTTGAAGCTTTTCTTAATCGGAACCCTACTCTTTCGATAAGGAAAGCCCAAGGGGTGTCCAAGGGCCGACCAGACGGAATGAACAAACAGGAGGTCGCAGCTTATTTTGTCCTTTTAGAAAGTACCCTCGCAGAACACATTCAATAAACCTGCTAATATATACAATGTAGACGAATCGGGTCTCCAACTAAACAACCCTCCACAACACGTTATAACAGCAGAGCAAGGGGAAACCATAACAGTAGTAGCTTGTTGCAATGCCGGAGGGAATTTTCTACCTCCCTACATTATATTCAAGGGCGTTGAACAAACAACAAGCGTGGCTAGATAACCTGCCTAATGGCGCAGAGGTGGTAATGGGAGGGAAATCAGCGTACATAAACGAAGAACTATTCTTAAATTGGCTGGAAAATCACTTCATTGCTGGAAAATCACTTCATTCCTAGAAAATCAGCGGGTCCGTGTTTACTCTTACTCGATGGACATGGATCGCACACCAATTCGCCTGAAATCCTATAAAAAGAGCTAGAAAACGACGTGCATTTCCTTTGCCTCCCTAGCCACACAACCCATTACTTGCAACCCTTCGACCGTTCTTTCTTTAAATTGCTTAAAACGTACTACCGAAACGCAGCTATTGAGTGGGGAGTTGCAAATCCTGGGAAAAAATAGAGCGGAGACATTTTGGTCAACTCTTAGAAACAGCCTGGTCTCAAGCATCGACAACATCGACCGGATGAGCAGGCTTTCGAGACTGTGGGGTATTTCCATTTTCCCCATCAACAATTCCTGAGCATGCCTATCTAATAGTTGAAAGTCATGAATTGACAAGAACATCCAAGAGTCCTGAAAAACCTAGCACGTCAGGTACTTCTAATACAATAACTCCATTAAAATTACTTGCTATCGTTTCCCCAATACCAATAACTTATCTCTCAGAAGTCAAAAGGAAGCAACATGCTCAGGTTCTTACCACTGCTGAGAATATCGCCAACAAAAAAGCCAAGAGGAATGCAAAAACAGAGAAGCAGAATAAGTCGGTATTAAAGCTGGTTCGCAAGCCTTTCAAGAAACAAATTGCTTTCGAAGATGAATTACCTTCTGTATACATAATCGTTACAACCGTCAATGTTTTTCAGACCTCCTTGGTTCGCTCCTTTCGTTCGTGCGTTCCTTCCTTCGCTCGTTCAGATTTGCAATTCTGTATAAACGCTTTTATTAGAGGAATACTCTAAGGACTGTGTGCAAGTTCTCTCCACCTCTCCATATTGAATAGGGCTTCTCCACTTCACCGTTTACGTGCTAGCAACAGAGTACAGACAATTAGATAACCCCACCGAATACGAAGTCATTTTCATAGCAGTCCAGAGAACTCAGCCTACAACAAACATAGAGATAAGTACTTTATTAAATAGACTCAATTTCTTTTGTATACATACATATTTAATTGTAATATCCACCTACCGGTTTTTCTTTTCTTTTGTAATACGAAGAGTACTCTACGTAAACTTTGACCACCCACTTGGAGGGTTATATATTATAAGGGTATTTAATTTAGAGGTAAGAATAGTTGTGGAAACACGCCTTGTACATAATAATTTTCTTTCTTTCCTAATAGTCGACATTTCGTATAAATGTAAATTTGTTGGTTATAATTTTAATTTTGACGACAACGATCGAGGTTATAAGATAATAAAGGCCCGTTCACATTCTATCAATCAAACAAGTTCTTTTTTTCTTCTTTCTATTTACAGGAACCCATCCCCTGAGGTTACTAGTCAACCTGATTAGGGGAGTTCGGTAATTTGAACCCCTTTATCATGACAGGTTATTTAGATTTTTGATAATTTATCCTTATATAGGTACAAGAAATGTTTGTGCAACAAGAGTGGATATTATGATGGCCATATCGCACGAAGACAAAATTTGAGCACGGAGTGCTCCTCAATCGTCTGAGTTTGATATGGGAAATCCACTCGAGTTGTACAGCATATTTTTTTACGACCCATTAATGAAAATCTACAAATAATATTAAAAATTATGTTAGGTTATTAAGACAAAATAACTAATTAAAACTTTTATTAGTTTATAAAACAGAATAAACAAGAAAAAAGGCAAATGCTCGGAACTCACCACTACTGAGGTGCTTAAATTTTTTTTCTTTAATACTCGTAATTAAATTGACTTTATATAGTTTTATTAAAATTTACGAAATATTTATAGTTATAAACCAAACAAAAATAGAAATGCTATTATTATTTATCGAGTCTACATAAGAATAACTCATTTTTGTGTATATTTAAATAACTAAAAAATTTAATAATATATAATCTAATATACTTGTGGGTATAAAAAAAGTTCATTTTCGTTTCCTATGTTTTGCAATTTCATGTTGTCATTCACTATTATACTAACTTTCTTATATTATCAGCTTATACACTATAATTTATTATTGATAACGTAATATCGGATACTTTTTTGGACTTGGTATAGCCATTATTTTAAACAAAAATTCAGGATATTAAGATGCTAATGTTTCGCCAAATAATACTATGTCAAATATTCGTCTGGTAGTAATTTTTTTTTTTTTTTCATATTTTGGACTTGAAGTTGGTTAGGGTTATATTTTTGATGTGAAAAATCAAAAATTTTCTTATTAATTTTAAGATGATGTAAAAATGGCGCCTCACATACTCGTTTTTTAAGCTGTTAGATGCAATTTTATAAAAATATATATTCGTCTAAATATCGCAAAAATTCAACCAAATTTGAGAAATTTGATTTTTTTCTCTACATTTATATACTACATATGAATTTAATAAAAACGATATAATTAAAAATATAGCGTTTTTAGATCAAAAATAATTTTTGGCTGAGCCAAATTATTGTTCTACAGATTAAAAAACCTAGTGTTAAAATAATATCCAGTTATTTAAAAAATAAATTTATTAAAAGTTGAAATTTGTACTATTGCAAAAAAACAAATTTTTTTTTGAAAGTTTGCATTGTACCTAGCTATATTTCAGCCAACCAGCAATAAAAAAAAAACAAATGAATAACATCCTTTATCTCAATAGTGGAAAACATTTTGCCTTTCGTATGAAAACTTATTTGTTACAAAACATACAAAACTACAGAAAAAATAAGAGGAAAATATATAAAAAAAATTATCTTTATTGAAAATTAATTTTACCTTCTACAAGAAAAATTTTACAACCTCAGAAAGATATCTAAATAAAAAAATAAAACAATTTGATTTCTTATTTTGATATTTGTATTTATTAATGTTTTAATAAAATTAGTTATTTAACTTATAATAATTTTATTTAACATTGAGTGACGTACAGAACATGGGCTGTTGATAGCGTCTCGATATGGGTTTTTTATGCAATTGTTCCAGATTTGGGTAACACTATTCATTAACAGATTATTCCAACAAAAAAAGAAGGGCGTTGGACCTTATTAATCTGTCTTATTATATCATAAATATACTTAATAATAAAAAAGAAAACGTACAAAGATTTTTAAAAAAGATTAAATATTGCATGGGTGTGGCGATTTAATTTAAATGTGACATAAAAATGTATATGGTCCGTTTACGTTGGCCTGGCGTATTCACAATTTTAGTGGTGCAATAGCGAAAGTTATTTAAATATTTACGGACATTTTTTAAACTACAGCTGGAAAGAAATGTAAATATTTTGGACGATTTATTGCTTTCGGTGGTGGAATTAGGTTTCAGGGGAAATTCACAGCCGTTATCTCCTCTAATGCCCCCACCTGAAATCATTGCATTCATAACTGACAATCGGCAGGCGTTAGACAAATAAATATTGTTTTTAGACGGATTCAGGATAATTTGGAAGAATTGTTGAACTTGGTATTAGGGTCCGATTACAATTAGAAGAACCCAGCTACGTCATCATTTGGCAAGGTAATTAATTGGTTATCGCCGCCTAATGGGGGTTTAGTGGATTGTTAATATTATAGAAATATAGGAAATATTGTTTAACATCTAACAACTTACTTAATTTTTGTTTATTAAAAGTTATAAATAATATGCATTCGAAATTCGAAGTAATAGTTACAACGTTCTTCTAATTGTAATCGTATCTGCATGTAATCATTAGGATTGAGAATGAAGGCAAATTAAGTTTTGTCTCCTAAGCGGTTTAGTAGTATTTTGAAATTTTTATACCTTAAAAAAGCACCGTAAACCCCGCAGGTCTTTTAGTTTATAATGTATATTTTTGCCTTCCGTGTAAATGTTTATTGGTAAAATGTGTGAAACTAGTTATACTCTTCACACAGTAGTCTGTTAAGAGTATTATTTTTATTGTTAATTATAAGCAAATAAACTACCTAATAGTTTTTCTGTAGGTACAATAAGTATTTAAAATTTTCTTTTAGAATATCCAGCCACAAGCTTACTATTGAATGTGCAAGGCCCGAAAAATGCAATCACTTGACAGGGCATATAATAGTTGGTTAAGAATTTGTGTTGGAATGGTCAATGATGCTCTAAGTTGATCATGCCAAAAAATGTTCAGTTGGAAAACTACAAATAATTGGAGAAGAAAGGTCTGGATTAGGCCTGACGAGTTTAATTATATTCCAGTGCAACTTTCGCAATGAGAAAATTTCAAAATCGACAGAAAGTCCTGTTAACGACAATTGCCCTCATTTGTCATTGAACATGGGAGCAGTTTGGAGAACTCTCTCTACTGGAGGAACATATTCCCATATGTCAGTATTTTTGGCTTGTCTAGACATACCTAGAATGTCATTAAGAACATTTCATTGCATAGAATTATTCCTAGCTAATAAATGGAATGATGAATTATGGCAAACTATAGAAAAAGCTGGCAAAGAAGAATTAAAATTGGCTAAGGAAAAAAGAAAAATTTATAAAGATGGAGTGGCAGGGACGATATCCTACGCAGATTGTGGATGGAGCCAGAGATCTTATGGTCATAACTATAATGCTGCGTCTGGTTTGGCAAGTTATTCAATTTTGAACCAATTTAATGCCATTTTATATTTTTAGGACGTCATAATTGACTTCAAAGATTTTGTATATAGGTGTGAGAAATAAATATTATATTGTATGCTCCAGAGCTATGAATAAACAAGAAAATCCCACGCAACATATTTGTTTTAAAAATTGGGATAAGTCTTCAGCTGCAATGGAAACAGACATTATTATTGAAGGATTTATTCACAGTGTTAAAATGCGTAAGATAAAATATAAAAAACTTATTGCAGATGCTAGTGTATACTCCAATATTATGTTAAAAGTGCAGGCAGTATGGTATGGAGGTAAAAAAAATTGAATGTGTTAACCATGCTATAAAAAATTATGGCAAAGCATTATACAAATTGCAGAAAGAAACAAAATTGGAATCTAACGGCAGAAAATTGTTGACTGTATCAAAGATAAAAGAGTTATAAAATATATCTAAAAGAATATTGTACGAAAATATGTATGAAAAAGTGGAAGTTTTAAAGTCAGAATTTGAAAAAGGACCAAATCACGTTTTTGGCGATCATAACAAATGCTCAAAAAGCTATTGTAAAAGTGTTGGAAATGTAACAAAAAGTTTAATTTCAACCTTAGAAAGCACTGGAAGTTACTATCACATTAAATGTAAGTTGAATTTAATTATCAATATTCCCTTTTAAATATAATGAATAAAATTGTTCTTACAAACAAATAAATATTATTGTAATTGCAAATTCATTTAGTGGTGTCCTCAGATTGACTAAAAAAGAGAAAGAAAAACTGTTCTTGTTTTTGTTTGTTCCAAAACTAATAATAATCTAAACAGAAGTTTTTTTTGCTTTAGTGAAATAATGACAAAAATATAAAAAAAACATTTTTTTTTGTAATTTATGTCATTATTTTATAGAGGTATTCAATTTCGGTTCTAACTATTATTATTTTTGAAACAAGCAAAAACTATAAAGAATAACATTTTCTCTAAAAATTAAAAATAAAAAGCGTTTGCTCTTTTTCAGTCCATCCCTATATATCATACCAGTTAAATAACTCGTTTAATATATTTTTAGCTGCATTAGACCGTTTAGTAAAGATGTCTGGAGGTTTGAAAGCCAATGAAACCAATAATAAAGCAGAAATGTTTATGTCCCGTGTAAATTTAATGTTGGCAAAAGATTAAATTTAACGCAGAGGGGTTCTTTTGAAATGAGGGCATATCTAGCAGCTCAGATACAATTTGGGAGTAGCTTGGAAAGAAAACATCTGGGAAAACGTAACTGAATCAACCCCAGGAGAAAACTTTAAAAAATATATGGAAACTGTGAAACGTAACTATGCAACACATTGCAGACTAAGAGAAACAGTTTCTAGACCTAAAAGAAAGAGGATTGTACTAGACAATAATAAAAAGGACTACGGAAAAAATGTACCTACTCCAACTTTATGCGACAGTGAATGTACGTATAAAAGCTTTAAGAATATTGGAGAGGATGCAGGTGAATGTTTTTATATGTATATGCAACATACAAAATTTCTAAACAAATATACTGAATTGAAAATTATTTTAAAACTTTTGTTCTAGGTTACAAATGAAGAAATTCTTAAAATTGAAGTGAGTACTAAGGGCCAATGGGAAAATCCCCATTATAGAAGTCAACAGGTTAACAGCTTCTCTATTTGGAGAGGTTTTGAAGAAAAGGGAGACAACTCACTGTCACAACTTGGTAAAAAAAAAGTGTATGAAACAAATTTTTCATCAGAAGCAATGGTGTATGGTAGAGCAAATGAGTCTGTTGCTTTGCAAACGTTTCAAAAGCAGAGGTCTTCAGCCAGAATATCTATCACCTTCTGGGCTTTACATTGATGAAAAGTATGGCTTTCTTGCAGCTTCTCCTGACGGTAAATATTTTCTTCAGTGATATGTTTCTACTGATGCACATTTTGTAGCACTTTTAGGAGATAATGCACTAATTGAAGTGAAATGCCTACATAGTATAAAAAAATTAAAAAAAAAATCTACTTAAAGCAGTGAAAGAGAGGAAAATATGTTTGTAGCTGAGACATCATCAATTATCTTTGAAACGAGCTCATAATTACTATTATCAAGTAAGATTTATTGATAGATAGTGTTATAAATAATGTAAATGGAAGATAAAATGACAACATTTTTATGCAAAATTTTAATTTAATAATTACTATCTCTCTTATACCATTTAATATTATTTTATTTTTAAAATGTTTCTTTTGTTTTAGGTTTAGGGCCAGATTAATATTGCCCAAAAAGATATGCGTTATTTTATTGTCTATATTAATGATGAACAACCATTACCTGTGCAAGTCATTTTAAAAGATCAGGAATTCTGGAATGAAAATGTCCAAAAATCAAAAGAATTTTACGAACAGTGTATGCTTCCAAAAATAATATGCAAAAATGTACCGAAAGGTCTTAAAGCCAAAGAACCAAATATAAAAAGAAATATGTAATTAAAAAGTGTTTTATTATCTTATTTACCCACACTACTTTATTTAGATTAACATAAGTCTACGTAAGTTGGCGGCATATGGAAAAATTTTAATTATTAATTTAAGGAAAAAAGTTATTCTTCATAAAAAGTTATGCATGGTCTAAAATCTAAAATACGATCATGTAGCACGATATAACTAACAGCGATAAGATATTGCGCCTGAATGGGAGGAGCCTAAGCGGCTGGCCTACGTCACTCGCAGCGTCTTTTCACCATTGTTATTAGTTTTTAACGTGATTTACTTTGCAATAGACGAGTTTGTGAATGTTTTTTGACTATTTATTATCTAAAACAATGCGTTGTGCAGTTTACGGATGCCATTCTGACAATGAATCGAAAAAAAATCCGTGTCCCAACGTAAAATTTTTCCGATTTCCGAAAATAGGAGAATTGTGCAAAAAGTGGATTCATGCTACGGAAAGAAAAGACAAGTTCAACGTTAAAACGTCTTATGTTTGTTCCAAGCACTTTGCTGAAAGTGACTTTAAGATAAATTTGCGACATAAGTTATTGAACTATACCCCAAAATGTTATCGTCCGCTAGAAGATCATGCAGTGCCGAACTTAAAACTACCCTATGGGGTACATGCAAAGCCTGCTGAAGCTGCTTCAGGACGTGATGCAAGTATTAAAAAAAGGCAGAGAAAGCAATTGGTTGACGAACTATTGAACACGTAAGTACACATAAAATTTCTAACCTTAAAAACCAATATTCTTAACTTTGTGTAAAATTGGACATTGTCATAATTTTGGTAATTTTTATATTAGTAGGTCTGGTGATGGTACTGGTGGTAAAAATAATGATAGTACGTTAAGTAGTTCGGGCAGTAGTCTGGTACATAATTTTGATGGTGCTTGCATGAGTGATATTCCTTCGACATCATCTAATGATAATAAGTGGTAATTTAAGTAGTTTTGAATGTACCTATTTCTGCATCTAATTTGCTACTTAATTATTTGTTATTAACATATGTTTTACATTTTAGGGTGCAAACTGACGTGACTGCCACCACAATTGATTCTGTGACAAACTCACTAAATGAAAAAACCAGAGAAGTAGCAGAATTAAAAGAAACACTGTCTGCCGTCGAAAAGGTTTTTTCCAAAAATCAAATTTCAAAACTAAAGCACCAGAAGCGCATTCAATGGTCTACTACCGAAATTGCAAATTCCATTGTATTATATGCCGCTGGACCCAGAGCATACAGGCTTATGTTAAAAAAAGGGTTTCCATACCCTGCAGTCTCCACACTAAGAGCTTGGCTAAAAAAGATTAAAATTCAACCAGGGATTCTTAAAAACATCTTTAAACTTGTAGAATTTTCTGATTTTAATAATAACGATAGAGTTTGCATTATAATGTTTGATGAAATTAAAATCAGGAAAGAATATATCTATGATCGGTTAGAAGATGAAATTCTGAAGCCTTTTGCTTATGCACAAGTAGTCATGATGAGGGGGCTATTTAAGTCATGGAAACAACCAATCTTTTATGATTATGACTTTAAAATGACAGCTAAAACTTTGTTTGAGATCATCAATTTTTTGGAAAGTTCAGGTATGTCTAAAAATTCATCAGAAGTTTTAAATTTTAATAAATATTATTCTGCAGGTTTTCCAGTAGTGGCCATGGTTTCTGATTTAGGAGGTGGAAATAGAGGACTTCATACTGAGCTGGAAATTTCAAAATCAAAACCTCACTTCTTGAATCCTTGCAATGGGGAGAAAATATATGTCTTTGCTGATGTGCCCCATCTTTTGAAGTTAATCAGAAATCATTTTGTGGATCAAGGTTTTATTCATAATAATGGAAAAGAAATCAACAAATCTATTGTAGAATCCACATTAGATGCTACAGCCGTTTCTGATCTCAAAATTACGCACAAAATTTCGAAAGAGACACTTAATGTAGTTGGGGCACAAAGGCAAAAAGTTAAATTTGCAGCTAAGCTCTTTTCCCATACGATTTCAAAAGCCATTAGTAGATGTGGAACACTTGGATATCTTCCTGGTGATATGAATTGGACCGAATGTGCAGACTTTTTTAAAACTGTAAGAATTTCATTGCAATACATTTTGTTTTTATTAATTTATTATTTTGTAAGTAAACGATCGGTTTGACGTTTTTAACGTCAGTGTACCTTTTAGTGACACAAGAGCCAGGAACCGAGGTTATGGCCTGGAAGTTGAGCAGCAAAATGAAGTAATCGATCGAATGTCTGAAGAAGTTTTAAATATCAGAGTAAAAGGAAGAAAAAGTTTACTTCCATTTCAGGATGGTAAATAATTTGAATAAATTAGTTTTGTTTTTAATAATTTGTGAAAATTTAACTAGGTATTCTGATGTCCAACAATGCCTTGAAACTTTTGCTTGAAGATTTAAAAAGAAGGTTTGATACGCAATACATTCTTACTCGGCGTTTAAATCAAGACATTTTGGAGAATTTTTTTGGTATAATTAGAGCAAAGGGAGGGCTCCATGACCATCCCAATGCCCTAGAATTCAAATACCGGTTACGCTCATATATTATGGGAAAAAATGAAGGTGCATATTCAGATTTCTCCAATGTAGAGGCAGACGATACTCCAGACTTGCCCATGAGTGGCCAAATAATAGATAAATTGGATACTAGTAATAATCCCCTCCTAATCGTAAATGATCCACTAATTGTTGTTAATGCCAATGAACAAGATGAAGTTATATCCCATGAACTCCACGAATTGGAATATGATGGCTTAGAAAATTTAGCAGGGTACATTTATTTCAAATTAGGTTATTCCAGAATTGAATACACAAACAAACCATTTTATACTTGGCTTGATCACGTGGATGAAGGAGGTTTATGCAAACCATCGGATGAATTTCTTTTAAAAATGGAGGAACTGGAAAATATTTTTACTAGTGTAAATGGAGATACTCTACTGGTTTGCAAAAATTACATCAAAAACTTGGTGTCGAAAAGTGTTCATGTTGATTGCTCAGACTCAGCAAAAAATTTATTTTTTAGATCACGTATGTATTTTCGTCTCAAAGAATTAAACAAATCGCTAAGAAAACTAATTGTAGGCAAAAGAAAGATGAAAAAAATTGCCACATAACTGTTCTAATATCTTATTTTTTCTAAGACGTTTTGAGCCCATAAATATAATTTATGTATTTTATTATTAATAAATTTTGTTTAAATATAGATTATTTATTTTATTTTAAATTAATTCACCTTTCAATCCTAAAGCAAGATCACAAGTGTTTTTTGACACAAACAATATACATACCGGGTGTCTGCGCGGATACAAAATTGTTACATAATCCCAAGTGTGACCTCATATTAAAGCTAATTTTATTAGGAATTTAAGGCAACACAAAAAACTATCCTAAATATATCCATATTACACCGGTCACAAATGTTAATGAATAATATTTTTAATTATTTAATTAATTTTTAATTTAGATAAAATAATATGAAGTTAATTGAATATAAAATCTATATATAAAATCACATTCCAAAAAAATCCACTTTCTCAACTTAAAACCATCAGAAATAAAGTAATCCAAAGTTTTCGCGCGGACACCCGGTATAAATTATATTATTACAAATAAATTTCCCTCTAATTTACAAATTAATTTACCCTTCAACACTAAAGCAACACAAAATATATTATATAAATTTTAAAATATGGGCAAATATTTTAAAATTTTTATTTTATTTAATGTCTTTATTTTTATATCTTTAAGCATGTGTACACTATTTAATTTTGTGCTGTTACGGACATTTTTTCTAAAGATACACAAAATCCAAACATCTAAATACAAAGACAAACAGAGCAAATACGCTTTAACCGTACATGCGAATTTGAATAATACGCTGCGAGTGACGTATTGCGCACCACGAACGAGTTTTGGCCACGGGAATAGCATGCCCTGATCATGTAGTATTAAATTTTATCTATCGTATACAAGGTTTGTCAAAAATAAAGGTACTTTACTTGTATTTTCTCGTATACGACTAATAAAATTGGTTTTAGATCAAGCACAACTTTTTATAAAAAAAAAACTTATAAAAATAATAGAACAATTCAAGAGGCAATTGATAATGAAGGGGGCCTATCGGAAAGACAATATGGATTTCGGAAGGGAAGATCAACCATAGACGCGGTAAAAATGGTAAGGGACGCAACGCTGGAAGGGGGAAGATGGGTAACACTGATCACCCTAGATGTAAAAAATGCGTTCAACACTGCAGACTGGCGGCATATCTTAAAGGAATTGGAAAGAAGGCGTATCCCAGCATATCTACTAAACCTTATTAAGGACTAACTTAAAACCAGATAGCGATATACAACATCCTACCGGTAGCAGCTGGAGTTCCGCAGGGATCGGTTCTTGGGCCGCTTTTATGGAACATTTTAGATGATGGTGTCCTAAGAGAAAACCTACGAGAGAGCACAACAATAGGCATTGCGGATGACCTAGGGCACCTAGCAAGAGCGGGCGATAAGGAACAACTGGAGCGTAGAGGAAAATAGAAAGATGGATGGAACAACATAGCTTGCAACTTGCGCCGAAGAAGACAGAAGTGGTGGTGTTGCGAGGCCCATGGAAGAAATCGAGCCGAGTGGGTAAACAGTGGACACAAGAAAAGCAATTACTACCTAACTCAAGTACTGACGGGCCATGGGTCCTTCAAAGCGTATACCCAAAAAATAGGCAAGAGCGCAAATGGTGACTGCAGATGTTGTGGGAAGATAGACACAGCGGAGCACACCTTCTTTTACTGCATGAGATGGGCAGTACATCGACAAGAAGTAGAGAGGATGCTAGGATACACGCTTAGTACGGGAAATTTAATAGCGACAATGACCAGTAGCCCAGAAGCATGGGATGTGGTCGATACCTTGGCTAGAAAAGTCATGAAGAAGGAAGAGAGGCGCAAGCGCAGAATCAAGAATAGATAAAGATCAGGAAAAGAAAATTCTATAAGAAATATAGGAGACGCTCTTTAGACCTCAGCGTTGAAGTAGGCCCAATCAGGCGGTTCCAATGCTGAGCGTTAGTGTAACGAGGGGTTTTAGTT